CAATGTGGGTATTAGGCTTTAGGCTTTAGGGCTTAGGCTTTAGGCTTCAGGGCTTGGGGCTTAGGGCTTAAGGTTTGGGGTTTAGGGTAAACCCTAAGCTAGAATTTAGGGCTCAACGTTTTGGGTGGTTATGGAAGCTACTGTAGCGTTCAGAGGGAGTGGAATGTCAAATGGAAAATGAAATGGCACTTCGGGGTTATAGTTACATAGTAGGGAAGGAAGAGTGGAAAAGAAGATGAAAACTGCTATATCACCGGGGGCAACCGGGGTGAGCACCGATTTCTATTCCCTACTAGCAAGCAGTAACAAAAAGATGCCAGCACTTGAAGGCAGGCAAAGTCACAAGCCCTAAACCCTAATCCCTAATGATCCCTAAGCCCTAAACTAGGTTCCCCAGTAACCCCTTAATAATAAGGGTACCCTTTTTCCTACTGTTCTACTTTGATAAGGAGAGCCCCAAAAAAAAGGGTACCACTGTGGTACCTAGCCTATCCCTAAAACACTAAATTCCACCATCCTCTGTGCTTTTTCGGCGTTGCGCCTCCAGCAGGGAATGAATCGACTCGACCAGGGTACTGATGAAAAGCTCACATTGTTCCAGGAAGACCGTCCTAGGACTTACCATGGGATCCTATAATCCTATACCACACCTCTCCCCTCTACTCCCCCTCCGCCACGTAAGGCCTAAATAAACCCTAATTGAGCCTTACTTGTTTTTTTGGTAAGGGATTATAATAGTCCCCCCCCCCCCATGACCACACCCCCCCCCCCCCCCCTCAGATTTAGATTTAGAACCCCATTAGGCCTTATCAGTTCCTTAAACCCTGGGGGGGGTACCTTTGGGAGGGATACTATTATAACCCCTTGTTTGGGGAGGGGGGATAAGGAGGACCTGCAGGTTGACTTTGCAAGTGCCCTTAAAGGTTTAGGGCTTCAGGGTTTGGGGCTTGGGGTTTAAGGGTTTAGGGAAAGCCCATACATTAACCCCACTTGTCCAAATCACGGATCTACTTGCTAAGTCCCCGCAACCCTCTATTGGCTTGGGGTTCTCCTTGGATTTTGGCTTTTTCAAAAATCTGCGCGGTTGGTGGGCACCAATTTAAGTATGGCCACTAATTGCTTTGGGCTTGAAACTGCACACCCAGATTTGGCAACCACCTGTTCAGAGGGCAATACAGGGGGGGCCATGTAATTCGCGGTTCAGGGTTGAGGGTTTCTTGAAGCCTCGGGTCTAGAATCGCTGAAGCCCGAAGCCCCACATGTTGTTGGGTCCCGACTGAGGATAATTTGGTCAATGCTTTTGGTGGTGGAGAAATTACGGCTATTTTCAGGGAGCCTCCAGACATACATCTTATGCCCCTAAGCCCTAAAACCTAAGAAGCACAGTGTAAACCCTAAACCCTAAAACCTGAACTCATGGATTCCCCCCTAGGTCCCCGCTTGACTAACCTCAATTAGCAGAAAGTATCCTTAACAAACCTCCATTAGGGGGAACCTAGGGGGGTAGTACTGGGGGTGGTAGACGCTAAACCCTAAACCTTAGGCAGTTCCATTCTCGTATGCAACCCGGCTTCATAATCTCCTGCTCCCGCAGCTTGCCATCCTCGTCTGAGTTGGTCCAGGCACTGGATAGCTCCTGTACCGAGATACTCTGAAGCCTAGACCCTAAACCCCATTAAACTTACTGGCTCTTAGCAGGGAATAGGGGAATACACTCCCTATGTACTGCCTATACACTATATTACCATATTGCCTGCTAAGAACCAATAAACTAAAACTTAAACCCTAAACTAACTCCCTCCTAGGTTTCCCCCTGATTGAAGCCACTTAAGAATAATTGGGGTTAATAGGGGGAGGGGTAGTCTAGGGGGCCACTAGGGGAACCCATGATAAGAAGAGGAATGGAGAAGAACAAAAGGAAGTCGGACTACTATATTATTTAGGGTTTAGGGTTGCAGGTTATTAGTTAAGGCTTAGGATTTAAGGTTTAGGGTGGGATATATGGTACTAATGGAGAATCCAATCCCAAAGCAAATGGAACAAGAAACGGAAGCTGGCTGCGATGAGTCATATGGTAGCCATAAGGTCCTCATTTCGGGGTTTGGGGTAACAGAAACAACCTTATTATCCTGAAGCATTCGCAGAAAGATGCTTGGGATGAGCTAGTCAGCAGGATAGTAATAACTGATATATGGAGCTTGCTAAGGGGCCCTGTACTTAGCCAGTGAGAGTTGATAGTTTCCATGAATGGGGGAACCCAACATAGACTCGATGTACAACAACCCTTATTATAGGAAACCCAACAAGGGGGGAGAACCCATTAGGGGTTGAGGGTCTAAGGTATAGGTTGCAGGCTTTGAGTTTAGGGTTCAGGGCTAGGGTTTAGCGTTTAGGATACCCTACTTGGAGGTTCAAGGTAATTACAGCCCAAGTACGAGGAACTAGGTATGGGCTATATAGGGCATATGTAGGGTTCTATGGGGGCATCTAAGGGTATAGAGGGTACCTAACTAAAAAAAATCCAGGCGTAAGTCCGCTGATACAATTATGACTCCGCTTTACGTACCAGTAAAAATGGGTTATAGTTGCCCTGAACCTCCAACTGAAAAAAACACTATACAAACCCAGTTTCCACTTACTTTTCTCTGTTCGTTTCCATGTGGTACTCCATTGGGCATTATCACTAAACCCCAACCCACAAACCCTGAACGATAAAGCCTAAATAGTAGTTTCCATGTTCTTTTTCCATTCCCTGTACTGCCTATCCAAATCATTAGTCATCATGATTAGTTACTAGGTTCCCCAGTAAACCCTAAATAATAAGGGTACCCTTTTTTCCTACTATTCAGTTTAATAAGGAGACTCCCAAATAAAAAGGGGAAAAGGGTACTACTAAGGTACCTAGTTTTATGTCTTTTCCAAAATCCCAAGGAGACCTCACCTTGACGAGGGTGACCTTCTGCTGGACCACGCTTTCAAAGGATGGCGGCATCATCATCTGCCGCTGCAAGAGTGAACTGATGGCATTCCTGGGATGGGAAGTTTCAAGATTGGGGATTTTGGGGGGTTTGGGCTCAGGGCTGGGCGAGTTGAAAGATTTGAGGTTTGGGGCTTTGGGGTTTCGAGGTTTGGAGTCAAGGACTTGAAGTTTGCCACTCAGGGTTTGGGGGGGCTGGGGTTTGGGGGCTTTGGGGTCTACAGCTCAGGAACAGCATCGTGCATGACACTAAATATGCTTTGAAACAAGACTCTCTGAGCGAAACAGGGATCCCCAGAATAGAGGGATCTGAGCAATGTGTAGGGCTTAGGGTTTATGGTTAAGCAGCGCCCTACTCGGAGGTCTCCAGCAATAATTTTGAGACACTCCCATATGGATAACCGCAAAAGTCTCAAGTACATCCATCGTTCACTTGAGTGGCCAAATGGTTCAAGAACGTCCTTAATCTACAGTTTACCTCAAATGCCTTGGTCAAGGACACTTTGAGGTGGGTAATTACCAGGCTTGCAACCCCCATGCGAGGCTCTATATAAGGCTCGTTGAAGTCCAATGGGGCTTTCTGGGGGTTTCCCAAAATTAGGGGTACCATTTCGGGGGTCCCTATACTAAAGATTCTAATATTTTTGGGTCTATATTGGGGTCCCTTCATTTTGGGAAGGTACCATATCTCGTGTAAGGGAGCCACCTGACAAGTACCCGCCCGCAGGTTCCCTTAACTCAGTGCCCAAAAACTCTGAGAGTTTTCACCCGGGCTTCCAGGAGAGTAGTTTCAGAGGCTGAGTCAAGTAAGTTATGGCTTAGGGTTTAGGGTTTAGGGTTCTATCACACAATTCATACAACCACAAGGGAGATGATCTTGCTGTATAGTGGAGACTATAGTATCCCTGTTTTCAAAAAAACAAATCAGGTTTGATACGGGTAGCCCTTAAACCCCAAACGTTCGTCAAAGACAGGGGTTCCCTGATACTGTATCCCAAACCCTGAACCCTGATCCACAAACTCGCTACAGGGCGTAAGAGGCCATTGTATGAGAGTTTGTTTCAGAAACTCCCGTCGGGATGGCTGCCAAAATGTACCCTAAACCCTAAACCCTAAACCCAAAGTCCTGTTGCAGCAATTCATGGCGTTTGTTTCTAAATGGTTTGGGTTCAGATATCGGGATTCCATGAACAAGGGTTTAGGGTTTAGGGTTTAGGGTTGAGGGTTGCAAACCCCAAGATACAACAATCCCTACTATGGGGGCACACAAACAGACCCTGTCTTTGGATATTATAAACCAGATTAAAAGAAAAAGAGAAACTGAAATCCAGACCCTGCTCTGAACCCTCATGAGTATAAAGAAAATTTCATTGAAATCCTAGATTTGAGGGTTCAGGATTCAGGGTTTAGGGTGTAGGGATTCAGGGCTTTTAAGGGTTTAAGGTTTAGCTAGCTTGGTCTTTTCAAAATGCGCCCAGAGAAAGCCTGACTCAACAACGACCCGGCTGCAGCAACATCTGCACTTCAGGAACAACATGCCCAATGGGATCATTGGACACTTGAAATGATGAGGCTACAGCCAAGTACCAGATCTCCACCAAGCATGGTATTTCCTCAGTTCTTGCAGGAATACCATGGGGTCTTAAACCAGATGCACCCATCAGCATATGAGCTATAGTCTAAACTCCTAGTATCCCCCTTAGTAACCCTTATAGTACTCCCCCATATAATCCCCTATCTAACCCCCCTTAAGGAGTTTAGACTACAGTTCATATTAAGGCCCCCCAAAAAATGACCCGAGACTTTGACGCAACCCCGCAGGGTTGATTCCTTGTAGGGTTGCTGTTAAGGAACTTAAATTAAGTTACTATATTGGGGAAACCCCATTATTTACTATATATACCCATTATGGTAACCCTAAACCTAAACCCTAAACCCCAAACCCCAAACCCTAAACCCTAAACCCATTATGGTAACTTAATTTGAGTTGATTAACAGCAACCCAGTCCTTTTAGGGGCTTATGCAGAAGAGAAGATGCAGCCCAACCCTAAAACGCCCGAAGCAGCACGTTGACGATGTTTTTTCTACGCTAAATGAGTTTAGGGTTTAGGGTTTAGGGGTTTAGGGTTTAGCGGTTTAGGGGTTTAGGGTTTAGGGGGGGGTTCTGTCTGGACTATGTGATGTTTCAGAATAGAGATACAGGCCAAATACCGACTCTAAGACGATTGTGGGGGCCCGTAGTCATGTTGAAGAACTCCCATGTGAAGACAATGCGGGGGGTAAGAGCATGTTAGCTTCGGACAACATAAAAGGGTTGTTACAAAGGCCCTAGGGACCGTTCCCATCTACAGGAAGTATGTCAAAGCGACTGATAGGTATACGGTATACGGGTTATTGTCAGACCAAAACCTAAGCACCAAGCTGAAAATCCTTCACCGTTCATCCCAAACCCAAAATCCCTGTGCCCAAGCCCTCAATCCTAAACCCCAAGCCAACCCTAAACCCTCAACCCCTAAACCGACCCTAGACCCTAAAGCCTAGACCCTAAATAGTTGTCTCCATTTTCTTTTCCATTATCCCTATGTAACCCCTAAACCCTAAACCCTATATTATACCCCTATCTAACCCAGCATCTGCATCATCCCGCTGACCTTCAAGCTCCATTGTACAGTAGCGCACATCGCCCTCAGCAGCCTCTTTCGGCTCCTTCTCCTCTGCAAGTAAAGGTCCCTCTAAAGGGGGGTTATATAGGGGTTATATGAGGGTTATATAAGGTTTATATAGGGTTTCTATATAAAATTCAGGGTTTACGGTGAACCCCAGGTTATACCCTGTGTGACGCAAGCTTCCTATAGGAGCTATGGTCTGAACCCCTGGCATTTTCGTGGGTAACCACTCAAATTCTCCCCTATATAATCCCCTGTATACAGTAACCCCCTTTGAGGACTTTCGACCCTAAACCCTAAACCCTATATAACCCAATTTTAAGGATTTTAGACTCTAGCTCATATACTCAGACTTGGGGACCAGGGTCGCCCTACAAAAAATCATGTGCAAGCTCTGCTTTTTGCTATTCCTGTTCCTAAGCCCTAATTGAAGGTTCTCCAGCAACCCCTTAATCACAAGGGAAAATGCAACTACTTGGGTACTTAAACTTAAATTGCAAACTGAAGATGCCAGACCCCAACCCTAAACCCTCAGTCATCCTTGAATTGTAGATAAGACAATATCAAAATTACAAGGTTGAGGGTTCAGGGTATAATGTTTAGGTTTTGGGGTTTAAAAGGGACCCCATAGGATTTAAAGTGATTCTGGAGGTCCTTACAAACCCTAAACCCTAAACCCTAAACCCTAAATTTTGAAGAATTCTATGGAGCAAAATCGAGAAAATCTCATCCCGAATCCTTTAGCCCAAATCCTAAGCCATGATTCTGAAGGGTTTAGGGTGTTTAGCAGTGGATACAGGGATTACATCGGGAGCATGCAAAGAAAAGCGGGCCTGGGGATTACACAGGGTTTAGGCATTAGCGTTTAGGGTTTAGGGTTCTGGGGAAACGCCTTCAATGAAGGTGTAGCATGCGAAGCTGAAAATAAATGACAGCTCTAGCAAAAATGGAACACGGCTTACCACTTCCGCACGGAATCGTAGAATGCCAGCAGAAGGTTCACCGCCGTTTTGTAGACGACGGGCAGTAGCAAGGCTGGAAATGTTTTGGCGAAGCTCGAAGCCTCAGTCAACTTACCCCCCTCCCCCAACAAAATAGGCACATCATATGTTCGACCCCCCCAAAAAAAAAACTTTCAGATCTAGAGTTTCACAAATGAGGTCCGAAACTGGAGGTCGAACGTGTCTAAAAAGGTGGCTTTAGGGTTTAGGGTTTAGGGTTTAGGGGTTAGGGTTTAGGGTTTAGGGTTTAAGTGTTCAGGACTCACTACAGGGGCCTAAATCATTACCAATATCATTTTGAGGTCCATTTGGGGTACCATAGACCAAAGTTATATCAGGAATATGGAACCATAATATTGGCAATTATCCCTAAGCCCGAAATCCCAAACCCTAAACCCTAAACCCTAAGGAGTATGGAACCATAATGTTAGTAAGTATTTAGGCCCTAAACCCTGAACCCTAAACAGTAGTTTCCATTTTCTTTTCCATTATCCCAATATGGAACCATAATATTGGCAATTATTGAGGCACCTATAGTTGGCTTCTTCAAGGTTTTGGGGCTCCGGGATGCCAAAACAAAGAAGCCCTGCAACATCCCAAACCCTAAACCCTAAGCCTTGGGTACTGCCCTAGCAGAGTTTAGGGTTTAGGGTTTAGGGTTTGGGGTTTGGGGTTTAGGGGTTTAGGGTTTTTGGGTTAAGGGTTGGGTACTGCCCCCCCTCAGGAACAGTTGGATAATAAGTATAATATGGTTATACATAGCCCTTAGTAGGACCCCTAATATAGACTGTTACTGGGTGGGGGCAGTACCCACCATCTAAGCCCTAAGCCGGATTTTAAGGTTAAGGGATGTAGTTTTGGAGATCTGGGCAGTGGAGCCCTGAATCCACACAAAGCCCATTTAGGGTTAAGGTTTAGGGTTTAGGGCTTTGGGTTCAGGGCTTATGCGTTGTTAAGCTTTAAGTCATTAGAAAAGCTGTGCGACTTATTCAGCAATGAATGTCCCAGCAACGGTGTGGCTAGCCTCTCTGAAGCAGTTAGTTCTGATGAGTGCCTGAGCTCCCAGATTTCTTAAAGGACTACCTGAATGAACTTCAACAATATGTAGAGTAATGGCTTTTTTGAATCGCGTTATACGTTTTACCAAGCTTGGAGGTCCAAGTAGGTCCTGTCAAAGAAAAAAGGAAGAAGGAGAGATACCAACATCCCAGATGACTAGTGTCTTTGCGGGCTGACCAAGTAGGATAGTCCAAGGGTTGTAGCCAGTTACTTCATACTACTGAACACGGGGAACCCTAGACCCCAAACCGCGTGGCTATAGGATCCCTGAATAAAAGACTACTCTAATTGCCACCCAAGCGCCTCCGTGCGGAAGCAGAGTAGGCGCGCCAGCACTGAACCATCAATGGAATCGGTTCGGGAGTTCTCATCGATGTAGATGTCGGTTTGATGAATGATTCTGGACCATGCCTTTTCAGAAATCACGGGTTTAGGGCTTCCCTAATCCCTCAAATCCCCTCAGCCCACCCGATGGCCTTCTGAACGCGCCAGCTACAGCAGGACAGTACGTCTTGACCTGCACGCGCGGTCAAACTTTCCGCCTCCATAAACTTCTGTACATGGTGGCAGCAATCTGCCAATTTGGCCCGGATCTTCTCCAACAGAGGCAAGTCTGGAAACAAAGTGTGAAGAGCTTCCGCCGAAGCCCCCTGGGTCAGCAAAAGTTCGCTGAACCTGAAACGAAATCTTGCGGCGTTGGACAGAAGATGCGACCTTGACTTCGCGATGCAAGCCTTAGTTTCAAAGGACTTTGTAGAAAAATGCTAGACATAAAGTTAGGTATCCTAAAATAGGAGTAGGGTATAGGGGTCGATGGTATACTTTTGGTGGGAAGGGTGAAGCATCTCTTTGGAACCTTCTTTACAGACCTCATACCCTGAGTCCTGAGCTCTAAGACTCTAAGTCCCACACCTATAGTCCCCCTTAAGTAGATAGAATATGGCTTTGGGTATATTATAATAAGATCCCCATATACCCCATATTCTATCTACTTAAGGGGGACTATAAACCCTCAACCCTACAACCCTAGTAATCCTAAAACCCTGCTGTGCAGGGACCTGTGTTAGAATGCTCCAGTGGTTGGTGCGCTTGATGTCCTCGACTAGCTCCGAGTGTGCTGCCTGCATTCAGGTCCCAGGGCTTAGGGTGAGGCTTTAGGTTTGGTTTAGAGTTTAGGGTTTAGGGTTTAAGTTTTAGGGTATAGTTTAGGGACTAGGGTTTAGGGTTTAGGTTTGGTGTTTGCATTGTGCATCAAACCTTCGATGCTAAGAACGAAAAGGTACTGCTGATACCTAAAGGCCTGCATGACCCTAGACACCTCATACCCTGAGGTATATGACTATCATACACAAAAACCATGCAGGAAATGTTCATATCGTACTTAAGGATTCTGAAGTGCGAAGGGGAAATTGTAGGTCATTGTAGGTATCTGGGTCAGTGCATAGGTCAAGCTTAGATTTGACCATGAATCCTAAACGCTACATCCAAATTAGACCCCAAACCACAGAAGCCCCAACCATGAAATCCGAAGCCCAGACTTAACCCTAAACCACTAAATCCCTAGCCTCTCAACCCTAGAGCCACCAGAAACAAGCCCCAGACCACTAAATCCCAAACCCTAAGCGCACCTCGTAAGTCCAGAAGGGATGTGCCTCCAGCGCATACTTCGTCGTCAAGCCCAAAACAGCAATGGCCCCGACCGCAGAGCCCACCAAGCCGAAGATTTGCAAAGAAGTAAAGCTAACGCCTGCTCGGATGCTTAAGATGGTGGTAGCAATCCCCCTTTAAGTAGATAGAATATGGCTTCGTGTATATTATAATAAGATCCCCATTTTCTATCTACTTAAGGGGGACTATAGTATAAAGGGGGGGGAATAAGGGAACCCAAAAAGTCAGGGTTTTTTTTTCAGGCTTCGGGTTTAGACACTGTAGGGCACAGTAGTCGGCCAGATCTGGCGGGGGGTTTTGGGCAAGGCTTTGAGGTTTGCGGAGGTCCAGGGGGGTTCAGGGCATGTATCCTAAACAATGAATCCTGATGCTTAACTTCCAATCCCGAAGGTGTAAACCTTAACAACCACGCGCTACATCTAACCAACTAAACCGAAATCCCAAACAGCTGAACTCGGAACCCAGTCTGGAGGGTCAGGGGGACTTTGTAAGTATACCTATAACTTACTATAGCCCTTATATGCCAAATAACGGCCGCAGTTATCACAGTCTTGAACTTGCTTGGTGACGAAGTAGACAGAACTTTTCCATCTTCTTGTCCATTAGACTCTTCTCTGTTCCAATGTCGTCAGAACCTAAAAGCACATTACGGCTTCAATTTTCCTAGGTTCCCCAGTAACCCCTTAATCCTAAGGGGACCCTTTTTCCTACTGTTCTGTTTTAATAAGGAGAGCCCAAAATCAAAAGGGTAAAAGGGTACCACTGGGGTACCTAGTTTCTTTTCCGTTAGTACCTCATCAAATATCATCCTCATATGCCGCCTAAACCCTAAACTTAAAGATAAACCCTAAACCTAAACCCTAAACCCTGAACCCTAAACCCTGAACCGCTTTCAGTCATAGCCGCCGAGAGAGCTCAAGACAGCCGCTCCGGCTTCGGTAGCTGCAGCACGGCCGACAAGAAAAGTGGCACCTGTTATCAGGATTTTGTAGGGTTTAGGATTGGGGTTTAGGGACTAGGGTTTAGGGACTAGGGCTTAGGGATTAGGGTTTCGGGTTTAGGGATTAAGGTCTAGAGTTGTTGCTTAGGGTTTGTCAAGGTTTTGGATTTCAGGATTTGGGGGGGAGTCATGGTGTATGCGTGAGAAGGCTGGGGTTTGAAGATTGCGTGGTTTTGCTGGGATATTGCTGAACATAATTTCAAGGTTCACCATGCTCAAGCCCGAGAAGGAAATGGTTTTATGAAGTTTACAGTTTAATAGCATCCCAATGAGGAACCAGTTGGGGGATTTCAGGATTTAGATGTGTGACAGGGTTAATTTTGGGGCTTTGGGCTGAGGACTTAGGATTGAAAGATCTAAGATTTCTTGACTCGCGCTTGAGACGGGAGCTGCGGCGTGTGTGGCTATACCTACCCCTACAGAATCCTGAAACTGTAAACTCTAAACCCCCAACCTAAACCCATGATCCCTAAATCCTGACAACCTAACAAACTGGTTTCCGAAAAGAATGAAGCTCCATATTGGGTGGCTTTCAAGACCACAAAGCGTAAAGCCCAAACCTGAAAACACCCCGGCCTGCCCCCACACGACACGAAGACATAAACCCTCAACTTGCAGGGGGTTACAAGGCAATAAGGGAATAGATCATATCAGGGTTATATAGGGATTATATTCCCTTATTCCCTACTAACCCTAAATCCTAAACCCCACAGTAAGAAAACCGACTCGCCTGTCAACATGGTTACCGACTCGACGGGATATCGTCCGCGCAGATGGCTGGTTTCTGGCCGGACGATCTCGCCTAGGTCTGCTTGGAGGTTCAAGGTACTTGGGGTTTAAAGGGGGTTCCCGAAATTAGGCATTGTATTTTGGGGTGTATATATTGAGATCCCCCTAGTTATGAAAATACCATATAAGGATATGTGGGGGCTTTTTCGGCTCAGGGTTATTTCGACCTATAGAACTGCATTTATAGCCCGTTGCAGGCCCCCTAGGTCCACTAGTATGGTTATAGTTGGGCTGTAACATTAAAGAGTGTTTTCCAAACAATGCCCATGTCCTGAGTAAGCGGCGGCGAAAACACATTAAAGAAGAGGGCTATTCAGAAAAGTGAGTGCAACATTTATGGGTTTAGGGTTTAAGGTTTAGGGTTTAGGGTAAGGTTTGAGGATTAGGGCTTAAGGAGCGCCGTCGGGTCTTCAAGGGAAAACCTCCCACAAGGCCTGTTCTGGTCACCCTGGACCTAAAGTTTAGATTAAAGGCTTCGACGCCCGTCAACCCCCCACCTTCCTTAACAACCGTCTTATACGTATGGTAGAGTGTACTCCAAGTCCTAAACCATAAGATTTACAGTCTGAACTCCGAGTGTCCCCCTATAGTTGTTCCCTATATAATCCGCGATATAGCCCCCCTTTAAGGCTGAACCCTCCATTAGATTATTCCTTGTAGAGGAATTTATATGGATTATTGGGACCCCTACACTGCTGCTTTTTTGCCCTCCAAGGCAGGTCAGGCTGCTTTGGCTGTTGATGTCTGTGCAAGCCAAACCATCGAGTCCAGCCTTGCGATTAAGGGTTTCAAGGTGTAGGGGTTTAGGGGTTCAGGGTTCAGGGTTTAGGGGTTTAGGGTTTAGGGTTTAGGGTTTAGGGATTTAGGGGTTTAGGGTTTAGGGTTTAGGGTTGGTTCAGGGTTTAGGGTTTAGTAGGGTTTCTTGGTTCCCCAGTAACCTCTTAATCATAAGGGTACCTTTCTCCCTATGTCCAGGTTTAATCTGGAGAACCCCAAAATAAAAAGGGAAAAAGGGTACTACTGAGTTACTACTGACTGGCGTACCTAGGTTTGTAGGTTTAGGGCTTAGGGTGTGCAAGGCGCAGTCAACTGGCGGGGATCACGCAGTATGCCCACACCGGGGTCACCCAGACACTACTCGCAGCGAAACAAAACCACAACCGAATCCTCTTACTTCTCCTAGTCTAGGTTCCCCAGTAACCCCTTAATAATAAGGGGACCCTTTTTCCCACTGTTCTGTTTTAATAAGGGGAGCCCAAAACAAAAAGGGTAAAAGGGTACTAATGGGGTACCTAGTACTGGTTCCGATGTTTGGAATAGGTCCGGAATGGGCCTGGGAATGGTTTCGGATGTGATCCGAAAAGGCCCGCATTTGGATTGAGAGCACCTGCAAATATTCAACTTTCCCTAAGGGTCCAAGTACCTAACAACCATATACTTACCCCAAACCTGTATTTTGATTACTATTACCCAAATCCCAAGTACCCAAATATTGGGTACATGGACCCTTAGGGTTTGGTACGGGAGCACCTCGGGAAAGGGCTTGGGTTTGGAATGGTTGGTCTGCGTCAAACCAACCTTCAAGTTTCCAAAGCCCGTGTGGCCTGGCTGGAGTGTGTTGCTAGGTGCGTTTGGAACAGGGGGCGTTCTTGGCCAAAGAGCATTGGCATACTTTCATCTCGCTGTGGGTCATGTGAGGTGCCTGCCATACTGTCGACAACTAAGAGCGCCGCAAGATCTCAGAGCGCGCTGATTGGGGTATCCGGCTGACTTCGCCAAACATAATTAATTTAAAGGCTTCCCTGGGGGCCGTTCTGGGCCGATGGGCCCTCTCTTATTTCATCCTGGTTCAGGTCATGTGAGACGCTTGCCAAGTTCTGAGAGCGCGCTGGCTATAGTATCGTGCTACTTCCAACAAATCAAAATTTCATGTTTGCGTCCGGGGACGCTTCTGGGCCGAAAAACCCTCTATAGCCTGATCCCTGGCCAACAGCCCCGCTTGGCCCGCTGCGCCAACACCTAACACCGCAGCTAGGCCACCAGACCAAGAACTGCGCAACCTAAACCTGAGCCAGCAAACCCCAAACCCCCAAACCCCCAAACCCGGAGCCAACAGGCAGACCTCAAACCCCAAACTATGTATCCCTCATTTCCATATGTATATATATACATATACTACATGATATACATCCCTTTATATCCCCAAACCCTTGGCCAGCAAACCTCAAACCTTGGCCAGCCCACCTCCTGCGAAGCAAAAAGTTTGGCATTACTGATTATAACAAATTACCAGGACCTTCCTTGTACCCTTAATTGGGGATATATGGTCCCTAATAGTGGGTACTTAGGCCCTAATAGAGGGTAGGAGGGACTAAGCTAGGCAAAAACAATCCTAAACCTTTACTAAGCCCTAAATCTTGAACCCTAAGCCTCAAATAGTAGCTTCCAGTTTCTTCTACATTCGTTAAACTGAAGCCGGAATTGTCCAGCCTCGCGCAGGAGACGCAAAGCCACATCCAAGGTCTTCTCATGGGCGCGCTGCATGGCCTACATGTTTGGAGCACAGGTTTAGTCTGCAGGCTTTAGGGACAATGCCAGGTTCAGGGTTGAGGATTTCGGGCTAGGTGCTCCACATGTAGCTGTGTTGGTTTGCGTGTGTTGGCGGTGGCTGCTGAGGTTGCTGCGGTGGCAATGGTGGCGGTGGAGCCGTGCTGCGCGGCGGTCGTGGCAGTGGCGCCGGTGGTGGTCATGATGGAACCACAGAGTTCTTGCCCGGATTTTCTACAGCCACCGTGGTTCCTCTGCGTTTATGTTCTTCTCCTGCTGCTCCTCCTATTCCTACCGCTCCTCATGCTCCTGCCGCCCCTGTTCCTCCTCCTCCTGCTGTTGCTGCTGCTGCTTCAACAAGTGAAGCTGCTGATGCTACTTTCTTTGATCCTCCTGCTGCTACAAGTACTACGGCTACTCCTAACGTGATAGGAGCCACGAATCCAAATGCAAGCAAATGTCACGTACATCACGGAGAAAGCAGATGCAACGCACGAGATAAACTCCGAGCTTCCCCCTTACCCTCTCTTTCCTTCTGTTTTGCTGTCGTCTCTGTCCGTCATCTCATCCCTGCCCGTTCTCCTCTCTACAAATACGCAAGTGAGTTCTGTCACTACTTGCAGAAGACTAAACAATGTATTGAATTGACCCCCTCGATGTTCTCCCTTCTACACAGATCGCCACCCCCATGGGCCATACCGTTGTCACTGTTAGTACTTTTGACACACGACAAGAAGACAACGGCACAAAAATGACTACAGCTACCCAGATCGCGACCCCCAGGCGCGCCATCCATGTGACTCTTGAGACTTTTTACGCGCGTCAACAAGGCGAAGGCCCACAACTGAACGACAGTTACACGGATCGCAACCCCAATGTCCCCATCCCTGTCACCCTTCAAACCTTTCACACGCGTCAAGTAGACAAAGGCCCAAAAGAAAGGATGGTTTCACGGATTGCGACACCCAGGTGCCCCAGCCCTGTAACTCTTGGCACGTTTGACACGCGTCAAGAAGACCAAGACCCAAAAGTGACGACAATCACACGAATCGCCCCTCCCCCACCCACCCGGCGCCCTATCCACGTGACTGTTGGCACTTTTGACACGCCACGGACGACAGGTACAGGACCTTCAAGCGGTCCCCGAGCGCGACACACGCGGATGCTTCGCGGTTGGTTACCTCTTGAACTCCTCGGCGCTAACTGTTAAAACTGGAACCCTTCTGCAGAGCTGTTAAAGAAAACACCCAAGCTATTCATGCCCTTTAAACTCTAGATGCTTATCTCACACACCAAAAGCCTAAAGCCTGCGAGCGCCCATTCCCTGACATACCCCGAGTCCTGAAGCCCCAAACCCTTTAAAGCACTGTAGTAAGTCAATAAAAACCCTACTTCGAGAGACATGGGGACTTAATAAATAGGTTTTAACTCCCATGATCCATGAGCCATGTAATAGCGCCTCTACTTCCTCCCCATTATCAAGCTACTTGATAAGTCCCCCTGCTCTTCCAAGTAGTCCTTAAACTGTGTGCCGCACTGCCTGGCCAAGTCGAAATTCAAGCTCCTGCTCGATTTTGGGCGCTAGCACCTCATGAAAGCCCTAGGGTGACTTAGGCGCCGAAGGTAGAAAAAGCTTTAGAGCTTAGGTGCCTGAACAACGAGGACCTTTAAAGGGATATATAGGGGTTATATGCGGATAATGGAAAATAGAATGGAAACTACTATAGTATTACCCCAATAATGGAGAATCAAATGGAAAAGAAAATGGAAAATGAAATGGAAACTGGGATTATATTGGGGAAGGCGGTCTGTGTACAGTTGGGAGCTTCAACAAGTAAAATAGGGCTCAGGGATTGGCATTGTCAAGCCTGCATAGCTCGAAATCGCAGAAATCTGTTCCCAGGAAAGGGAGACAGGAATCAGGTGGGTGTACGACAAAATATGAGTTCTGTCTATAATGGGAACTACAAGAGACTACATGAAATTAATCGGTGATAACTGTGGCTTTTCGTCTGCGATGCCCTGCAGCCGATAAACGACTACATAATCACAGTTCCCATTGGATTTTCCACATTCTACTCCACTTGATTGTACGTCATTCCTACATGTTTGCATGTTCTTTTCCATCGTTCGTGCAAAGCTCTACATGTCCCACGAAACTCACTTGAGCTACAATCTACACTCTTAATATCCCCTTAATACCCCTATAATTCTCAGATATACAATCCCCGGTAACACCCCCTTTAAGGAGTTTAGACTAAAGACCCTAAACCCTAAACTCGATATAACCCCCTTTTAAAGAGTTTAGACCCTAAACCCTAAACCCTCCAACCCCATACCTATATAACCCCCTTCGAGGAGTTTAGATTTTAGACCCTAAACCCTATATAACCCCCTGTAAGGAATTAAGACCCTAAACCCTCAACCCTATACCTATATAACCCCCTTCGAGGAGTTGAGATTTTAGACCCTAAGCCCTATATAACCCCCTTTACGGAATATAGACCCTAAACCCTCAACCCTATACCTATATAACCCCCTTTCAGGAGTTTAGACCCTAGACCCTACACCCTATATAACCCCCTCTACAGATTTTAGCCTATAGCTCATTTTGACAGGAAAAGGATCATCTCAGGCAAGGAATCCGAATCTCGGGACCTTTAGGGTTTGGATTTAGGAATTTACGGCCTGGGGCTTAGTACTTAAGATTTAGTGTGCCAGATGTAGGGGGGAAGGGCAATGGCACAAACATTCATAGGGGACCTCACCTTAAACCCTGAACCGTACACCTTAAACCATGTGCTTAGGGCTGTTTACCGTCCGCTTTGTGCGACACGGCTCAGCATACAAGGTTTAGGGGTTTCGGGCTAAGATGCCGTCATTTCTGCAAGGCGCAACCCCACCGCCCATGGTACCACAATAATTCAGGGTGTTAGGGATAGGTAAGCCCCATAAAGCTAATTAAGGGGGAGGGGTAGTCAGGGAACCCATGAAGATTTGGTTGAATCAGTGCCTCTGTGAAAAGGGACCATAATAACTAGGTTCTCCAGAAACCCCTTCATAATAAGGGCACCCTTTTTCTTAATGAGCTTGAAGAAGGAGACGCCAAAATCAAAGGAAAAGGGTACCCCTTGGGTATCTCTAGAGTCTCTAGATAAATGGTAGTTTCCCTTAATAGGGCGACCCCAATATAGACCCTAAAATACAATAACCCTTATCATAAGGACCCCCAAAATGCTGGTAGTGGTACCCCTAATTTTGGGAAACCGTAAACCCCAATCCCTAAACCCCAAACCCCATATATAACCCCTATATAACCCTATATAATCCCTACAGCCCCCTTTTAAAGGTACCCCTAATTTTGGGAAACCCCCAAAATTGACAAGCTAGCATATGTTACTTGCCTCCTATGCTGCTAGACACCAACCCTACAGCCAAAAGCCTTAGGGTTTAGGGTTTAGGTTATATAAGGGTCATATTAAGGTTATATTGGGGTAATATTCGGGTTCTATTGGGGTAATCTTAAGGTTATATTGGGTTACTTTTAGGGTTATATTGGGTTACTACAGCATCTGAAACGTTCCCAGGTACTGCTAGCACCGTCTCGATATACCGATGGCGAACCCATCGCCCGCCCTCGATTTCATGCATTGCTTTGAGGGGCCTTTGGATTACAAACGAGCCAGGGAACTTCTGAGACATGACTGAATGGCTATGGAGTGGAGTCCTTACGCGCATTTGGCAACTTGCGTCACTTCAGGATTCCTAAGTCGCGCCTAGGTAGATCTGGGCTTAGAGCGTTAAGAAGCTGTCACTACTCGGCATGGCCTCGTGTGTCATAGAACCTTCGTAGAAAAACCCTGGCGTGGCGATGGCCAGCTTGAAGCTATCTTGGTTCCTTGCAGGATTATCGTACATTATCGTTCTTTCACGAGGAATGAAAATGGACTGCAACTTCCTTGAACCCTGAACCCTCCAGCTAAGACTAAATATTCAACCATCCCAAGGCAAGAGTATCCCTAAATGGCCAGACACCCCTAAAGCCCTAGACCCTAAACCCTGAACCTTAAAACCTTAAAACCTTAAAACCTTAAAACCCTAAAACCCTAAAACCCTAAAACCCTAAACCCTAAAACCAACTTCTTTGGCTATTCTTAGGCATCCGCACACAGCCCGACCCGAACTTGGACTGTAAGCCATCAGCCACGAAACTCTAGACCCCTAAACTCCACTCCTCCGCGCAGAACAGAAGAGCAAGAACGATGATGTATAACAACAAGGGGCTTGGGGTTTCGGGTTTAAAGTTTAGAGTTTAGGACTTAGGGTTTAGAGTTGAGGGTCAATGATGTAAACAACAAGGAAGGATGGACAAGTTTGTCAACATGGTTGCTTCTGATGCAAGACCTGACTTCAAGAACAGAATCGAAATGTCAACGAAGAGGCCCATCAAAGGCTCGTCGCCTGTTACTAAAACCCTCTCCAAATAATGAACAACACACCTAAACCAGGAACCCTATAAATCCTGGAAGATTACTGAACACTCTCAAAAGGAGACAACTGTTCAAAGGAAACAATGAAGCCACGGGTAGTGTTTGGACAAGAAACTGAAATCAAAAGGGATTGTGGCTCACCTGGGTTTTCGTGTTTTCTCAATCGTGTGTATATACGTATGACGAAAATTCTAAAAGACTTCGAATTCCAAATAAGGACCGCCTTTATGTCCTAGCTTTCCCCCGTGTTCATTTAAGTTTATATGCTTGGGTACGCGAACTTGTATACAATAATCTGAAGGAAATGGCCTTCAAGGATAACCTTTGCTTCCTAGGTTTGTGTTGTTTTTGAAGATGCCAGTCAGAAGCTTTCTATACATGAATCTCTAGAACACCTAATTCCAATTGAATAGGGGTCTACTTTATCTCCTAGGGTTATGAAGAAGACTTTAAAAGAAATTTGATTAGCCTGCAGTGAGTAGAACACATTAGAATAAACCAATTTCTTACGGGTCTCCCGTTTCCTACTTTATTCACCAATCTCGAAATTCCAAAGGGGGTGTGCTACTACAGTTTTTTGGGGGGTCTACGGGACTCTTTCAATCAAAGATCCCTAGCAGACAACATATTCGAGGTATGGATTTCTTTGTGAAAAGACGCATTCGAATTCTTAGGGCAACGGATTAGAAACTCGAAGCACAAACAATACCAAACAAAAAGGCCAACGGCAGTGATGCTATGTAGGATGGAAAAAGAACTTGCATGGCCCTGTACCCCTCAGCGCTAGGAGCTGCCATATTTGAGGGTTCTTCAGTGGTACAAGGTGTGTGCTAAATCCTGAATCTAAAACCATGAACTCTGAACATCCGGAACCCTGAACATACTACCCTAAACACCCTAGACCATAAACGCCCTAAACCCGAAACACCCTAATCCACAAATACCTTAAAGCCTACACAACCTCAACCCTAAACCCTAACTAAGCACCCACAACCCTAAACACTGTAACCCTAGCCTGCATAAACACCCCTAAACCCCAAACGCCGTGAGGACTAAACGGACTAAACCAAACACCTTAAATCCGAAACAACCTTTAGCCTCAATCCTAGACCCTAAAATCTTAAAGCTGGCCTCCAGCAGCACTATAGTCCCCCTTAAGTAGATAGAATATGGCTGTGGGTGTATTATAATAAGATCCCCAAATTCCCCATATTCTATCTACTTAAGGGGGACTATAACCCTAAACCTTAAACCCTATGGCCTCCTGCAGCACTTCCTTGCTAGCCTCCTCGCAAAGCTCTGCGAGCCGTGTGGTGCGCAGACTGTCGATCTCCTCCAACATTTGAATTTCAGGATCGTTTCAGGGGGACTACAGGTGATATGTGGCGGTTATATGGGCTTTAAGGTTTTATTAGGTTTAGGGGTACCTTTTTGGGGCTCCCCACAATAAGGATCTGGATTTGCATGGGGTTACACAAGGTCTGGGGTTTGGAGCTGTTGGGTTTGGGTCTCGCGCTTTTTATAGAGGGACATGCAGGCTGCGTGAAGGAAATCTTGGAGCTAACCAGAGATTCCTAGACTACTGTAATGTTTCAGGGTTCAGGGGTTTTGTGTTTCGGGTTTAGGGCCCAAAGTAGCCCATTATTTTGGGGAAGCAAATGATTGCTGCTATCCTAGACATGAGTAGCAACAAGGGGCCTTGGTCGAGGTCCTGCCATTTTGGTGCCATCACTCCTGTAAGTTACGAAGCATCGTGTTTGGGGTTTTAAGGGTTCAGGGTTTGAAAGGTTTAGAGTTTCAAGGCTTTAGGCTTTTAAGGGTTTAGGGTTTTAAGGCTTAGGGATCAGGTTTTAGGGATCGGGTTGTAGGGTTTAGGTTTTGGAGCTTAGGGTTTAGGGTTTAGGGCTCAGTGTCACCTGTGAACCAGCGACCCAAGACACCTGTGTCAGGAATTACTGTTCCTTCGTCCGCCTTTGCGCATACAGTACCCACAACCTAGTACCCCCATTTTGTGTCTAAATGGACTTCCTAAATATTAATCCCCCAATCCTGAATGCCACAGCATCGGCGCTCAACCCCGAAACTCTAGACAGGTAGCCGGGATTCTGGGAAGCTATGAGCTGAGATCTAGGGTTGATGGTTTTGGCTTAGGGCGCAGGGTTTCGGTGCAGGGTTTAGGGTTTAGGGCTTTCATACTAAGCCCACAACCTATCATGTTGAAGCGATTTATTAGATTAGGGGTGGCTACCCCACTAAAATTACACTCAGCGTGCTCGTGAGGAACTTTACAACCTTACAGACCCAAACCCCAAATCCGACTCCTCTTCACGCTAAATCCTAGGCCCTGAACCTCACATCCTAAGTCCGAAACCCTAAACTAAACAGAAGTCTCCATCCTGTTTAATCTCGCGCTCGAGACATGCTGAGGCTTCTTCGGCAGCATTCTCCATCTCCTCACACTTTATACTTGTGATGCTGGAGGTTTAAAGCTTAGGATTTGCGGTTTGGGCTTTAGGGTTCATAGACTTTAGGGTGTAGTAGTTACAAGGTCTGGGGTCTGGTGTTTTTGGTTTTTTAGGAGCTTAGGGCCAGGCTTGAAGGATAGGGTTTGTGGTTTTAGGGTCTAGGTTTTGGGTTTAGGGTTCAGGGTGGAGGGCTTGGGTGTAGGATGCAACTGCAGTTGACACGAACAGTGTAAGATCTAGGGTTGGGATTTACGGCTAGGGCTTAGGGGTTCGTAGGGTTACAGTAGCCTTGGCTTGGGTGGCCACTCTGGAAAGGGCTATACTAAGCGTCTAGGGTTCTGGGTATGCACCAAATGGCCGCAGCTTGAGGAGCTACACCCAGGGCCCTAGGGTTAGCGGGGTACACCTATAGACCCTGTTTTGGGATAGGGTTTGCATGACTCACCTCCCCGTGACCTTAAAAACCCTCACCCCATAAGATCACGTGTTCCAAATGTGCAATACTATACCTCCGCGAGAATATGATATTACGGGGATGAGAGGGCGTTACAATATTGGGGGAGGGGATTATATTATGAGTTCTGACATGCAAGCTAGAGGTTCACCGATTTGCGGGGTGGGGCGTTGGGGTTTGGGCAATAGGGGGAGGGGGGCTTGCGCATCCAGATCTATGTTGGTATCTTCTTCATTTTTCATGCATCCCTAAGCCCTAAACCCTAAACCCTAACGTTACGCTAGGAGATAGGAGTCTGGGGATGAACTTCGTCTAGGAAAAGGAGCTTCTCGAACAAGGCTTCCTCCCTAAGGCCTGCCGAAACCTCCCTGCAGTGCAGGAATGTCTTCGCCAACCGGGTTCCTCTGCTTCAGGTTCAAAAGTCTGGGGTTGAGGGCTTAGGTTTGTAATGCTCGTACAAAGTCAGTATCATCCTCCACGTAGCAAGTCCCTTCATAATCCTCACAATCTTCAAGACCTGAAACCCTGCGCCCTAAGCCTTGAACCTGACATTCCATAAAACCTAACCCGAACCTGAAATTTCCAAGACCCGACATTCCCCAAACCCAAAATCCCAACCTCTAGACTCTGGACCTTGGACTCTTCCCCTGCACGTACCAGGTTGTCTCCCGGGCATAGAAGTCGCTGAGCGCAACAGTGCCTTGGGAGGACTTGATCCTGTCCGTGTAGACGTCCATCAACCTGGGTGGTTCAAGGTTTGTGGTCAAGGTGGATTACAGTCTGCAGGGCACAGGGTTGCAGGGTTCAAGGAAGAAGGGGCGTAGGGCTAGAGGCTCAGAGAAAGCGAGCAGGCTGAGAAGGGCTTGCTTTACGCCGATCACTCGTCGACATGTGGGGGCCTATCAGAAAGAAGGTGACTTTTGGGCCCCCTTTATACTATTGCTCCGAGCCTTCGTGTATTCCACAAAAGCCCCCATACACACACAAAAAAAACACCCATGTAGAATCTATCAATATCCACCAAAATAAGATCCAGCAACTCGGCCGTTCGCACCATGGCTTGCTGCGCCTGGCGTTTGTTGCTCTGCACGTTGTTACAAGCAATCTTTACAATAGTTCCGGAGTAGTCGGCGATGCCATTAAAGTCCGTAAAAACACACAAATCGCAGACATTCGCCATCGACTGTAGGGTTCATATCGTTGCCATGATTCTGGCTGCAATCACAATTTCTTGAACACACAATATTTATCCTTCCCGTCGTTAAGAAAAACCAGCACTCCTATCACTGCTAACATACAAGTCCTGCGCCTCTTGTATAGAAGAGAAGAAAAAGCAGAAAGCACTATCATGTGGATCTTGGCCAGGGCTCCACTATTGTGAACTCTAGATAACCCTCAAACCCCAAACAACAAGAATAAAAACAAAGCACGCCTCGAGCCCGCAGACCGTTAACAGCCTGAACTCCTAAAACCAAAGCTTTAGAAAGACCAGAGAGAGCCTGGGAGCTCAGAACCGTCTGCTCTTGTTGCATCGCCATGAAACATTCCTAGGTTCCCGGCTGCCTAAACCTTAACTGCTATATAGGTTTGAAGGTACGGGGTTTAGGGCTTCGGTTTTAGGTCAACATCAGCCGGCGTCGGAAGTATCAAATAGGATCGGAGCAGTTCGTTCGTGTTTTGGGGGGGGGGGTTTAGAGGGATTAGGGATTAAGGTTTATGAGACCGCCAACTCCTAAACTCTACAGCCTTCAAGCCCAGGCATGGTGCTCCGGAGAGGCTGGGTGGGTGAATACAGGAATGTCTCAGAGAGGGGGAATCCCCAAGAAACCCCAGAGTATATACAAGGGTTCTAGGGGTGTGGTGGGGGAGTCCTTATTATTGGGACTGCAAAAAAACCCTGAACCCTAAACCCTACACCCTAAATCCTAAGCCCTAAACGCTGAACCATAAGCCCGAAACACTGAACTCCTTAACCCTAAATCCCTAACCCCAAACATGACCTCAATCAAGACCTATTCCATATATAATCTTACTCCATAATGGGTACCATAGTATCCCCAAATTAAATACTACTCACATGAGCTAGTCCAAACTCCTTAAAGAGGTTCTATGAGGGGATTTACTTAGGGTTTTAGGGTTTAGTGTCTAAACTCCTTAGAGGTGTTATTAAGGGGTTATATAGGGGACTACTCACCTATCCTATTTCACCCTAAACCCCAAACCCTAAACCCTAAACCCTACACCGCCTATCCTATTTCAGGCCCAGATTCCTTGACGTGCGCCTGAATGTCCGAGATCCACGCTTTGGCCTCCTCGAGCTTACCCTAGGGTTATACAGGGGTACCTTTAAAGAGGGTTCTAGGGGTTATATAGGGTGCCTTTAAAGGGGGTATGGCTTAGGAGTTCAGGATTTAGAGCTTTAGCCTGGGCATTTAGGGTTTAGGGTTTAGGGGTTTAGGGTTTATGGTTTCGGGCTTAGGGTTTAGGGCTTAGGGGTTTATGGATTTAGTGGTTTAGGGGCTGGGGCTTAGGATTTAGGGGTTCAGGGTTTAGGGCTTAGGACTTAGCGGCTTAGTGTTTAGCACTTAGGATTTAGAGGTTCGGGGTTTTGCACTTAGGACTTAAGGTTTTAGGGTTGAGGGCTTAGGGATCCAAATAGCCAAAATAGGTCTATTTATACACTTTAGGGCTTAAAAGTAGGTCAATGTATAGGCTTGGATGCCCAGTGTTACCACTTCGCATCAAAAGATAAGCTAGGCTTTGCGGTTGTCAGGGTTCAGCGGTTGAGGACTTTTAGGGTTGAGAGTTGAGGCTTGTTGGGTTTTTAAGGTTTTCCAATTTTGAAGGAGTTCCGGGTTTCCTGGTTTTCGGTGTTTAGGGTTTTTAGGGTTGAGGGGTTAATTAAAGACTATGCAGATGGAAGATAGGTATGCACTGGAAAGGTTGTCATAAGACACGTAGAGGTATGCCACCCTAAAACCTGAACGCTAAGCCCTAAACCCTACACCGGAAAACCCTAAACCGTAACCCTCTGTGCCGCTGGCTTTCTGAGTCCGCCCGTTAAGCCCTAAACCACAAACCTTTAACCGCGAGAGTTGAGTTTGAACTAGGTCAGTATCTTATAAACCACTGTTGGCAGTTTAGGGTTCAGAGCTTGGGGTCTTACCGATACTGATAAGTATAGGAGACTTTCAGGGTTGAGGGTTTCGGGTTTAGTTACCCGGCCATCATCCGGGGTTTGCCCCACCACGCCCTGAATCCTATAAACCAATGAATAATTCCAGTCTCAATTAAATTGTCCACTTTCTTGTCCGTGTATTTCTCCGTTCGTGGTTAAAGCTTCTACATGAGATTTTTGTCTCCTTAGGGGCCGAAGATTTCAGGTCTGGGATTCATAGTTTATATTTCAAGGCTCAGGGTTTACGGTAGAGGGAAGGTCCTTTTTGATTAGAATAGAACTTCGAGAGGGCACATTATATTGTAGTTATGTAAGGATTAGAAGGGATTGATGCTAGAGACTGTTCTACAGCGGCGTCTCTCATCAGAGCCAAGTGGTTTAAGAGCGCGCTTGGTAGTTTACAGCTGAGGCAAAACAGCAGAAGAGTTTCAAGATCCGCCAATTCTATGCTTGCAGTACCTAGGTAATTTCAAAGTCGGATTCCTACCACGAACAGAAAGCGGGAGCATGAATTTGCATCCTTTAATACCAAACCCTTGAGACAGTCATCGTACAGCTCTGGGAATTACTGCTGATCCCTTTGTCCCAATCATAAAACAATCAGAAAACGACCAAAGGCAAAACAAAAGACCTGAACCCTGGATTCCTGGCTCCCGTCCCTTCAATCCTAAGCCCTAAACCCAAACCCTAGGCACAATGGGGGAATAATGCAAAACGTCGGATCCTCAATATATAGTGTTCTTCCTGGGACAATTAAGTATATTAATATGATATGGAGTGGTGCAAGATTTCCTCCCTCCGCGTAGGTTCCTCAAAAGGGGCTCCAGAATTGATGCGCGAAACATACACTAAATCCTAAGCCATTGAGGTCCTCCAAAGGAAGATGCTTAAGCAGCGGTTGGCTGAGGTCATCATCAGGGTCTAGCATCAGGCCTGCTTGACGTTCTCCGCAGGGTGAAGGGTTGGTTTGGGGTATAGGGTCTAGGGTTTAGGGTGGTTGAGTGGGGTCAAGGTTTAAGGTTTGGTCCCTCTACAATGCTTCCTGATGGACTGTACTCCTTACAACTTGGCTCCGAAGTGCGGAGGCGGCACAACAACAAACTCCCAGAGTATCATCACGTTTCAGCTTGGGGAACATCCAAAGAAAAGACCTGCATTCCTATGGCATGTCATCTCCTGGAAAACCAGTAGCTCATAAGCATGGCAGATTGCCATTAATTTATACCACTTTACGTGAACAAAACCATTAGTGGATAACTGGACTTGCCAGGTAAGGCCCAAACCCGAAACCCAAACCCTCTTATCAAAGCATTGAGAACACCAGCTTCCATGTCATTTTCAAATGTTCCTCTCCAATTGATTTACTCTGAAACCCAAACCCTAAAGGCTGAACCCTAAAACCTGAACCCTAATTGGACACCTAGGCTCTCCAGCTTGATGTAAACTAAAGACTCGCAACAGGGTTTGAGGTTGGAGGGTTTAGGG